CACCCAGACACTGAAATATGTGTGTGTGTCTATATATATATATATATAATAATAATAATAATTATTATGTAGCCTCTCTTTATATACATCTATATAATAAATAAGAATTAATATAAATAATAATAAATAATAATTTTGTGATACGAGCCAATAAATGACCTGAATTCTGGTGGTAACTTAACAATGAGAATATCTAGATCGCGGGACACGATCTCCCTCCAGAATCTCAAATTCTCAAAATTTTGCGGTGCGCCGAATGTGTCGTTCCGGCTGACGTTGCAAACAAACAAGTGGAACACAATTTTGACCAAAAACATAATCCGAAAAGTCAAAACAAATGCAACCGAAATCAATGGGATGGGGGAATGATTTTAGGGGTTTAGGGTTAGGAGTGTGTGATTAATTGATTTAAATTTAAAAAATTAATTCCAGTGAAGCATCTCTAATCGATGTCTTTTAATTAGAGTAAGTAGAGAGTAAGTAGAGAGAACAACAAGAATTTTTATGTGAAAAAATATAAAAGGGTAAAAACTACTGGGTTTGTTAAAATGATTTTACTATGTTGATATAGGTTATAAGACTTTACCAACACTTAAATAGCCAGAAGTAATATTACATAAGCGTAGAGAAGTGACAGAATATGTTACGAAAGTGGCAGTGATGTGACTGTTATGAAGAAAGAATGATGACAGAGGTCTTGTTAGAAAATTTGATATCAACGTCGTCAATAGCAGCGGCCCAATAGCGACGGTCTAGCGATGTTGATGACCGAACAATGATGGTTCGGCGGCAACGACGGCTGGACAATCGTGGTTGGGTGATAGCGACATTGGTGGTCGACAGCGGCGGCGACTAGACAGGAGTAATTTTGTGGTTGTGGCAGCGATGGCCCTGCAATGGCGGCTACCATATCACAATGGTCTGGTGGCAGCGACGATGGTGGTTGGCAACAATTGTATGGTTGTAATCTAACGACAATAGAGCTTAAGAACCCTCAAGAACCTAGAGCTCAACCTTCTCCTCCAAGTCATGTTCCCTTTTACAAAGATAGAGGTGGTTTATTTATAATTTTTTGGAATTCAGGACCACTCATCATATGTCCCAGAGTGATTCTTTTGATCGAATGTTGAATTATTAGTATTTAAATACAATAATGATGTCAAAATTAAGTGTTCTAAGGCTCATTAGATTTGTCTCGTTGAAACTCTCGATTTGATTATAAAGTTGTGAGCTTTAGAGATCATTTAATCCTCAAAAATATATTTGAAAACATTTTCTTATGCTTTAAGCGCATGATTCAGACTTATTTAACCTCTGATCACTACTTTTTTTTTAAGTAATATATAGATGGTCTCACTTAACATTTTATTTGATTATAAATTGGAGTGTACGCAGTTCAACATTTGATTTTAAGACTCCTGATCCAATTATTTATTAAGATTCGCAATATGATTTGTTAGGGACACATCAAGATCACTTTATTTTGATAGACTTTCTAAGTTTGAGTAAGCACTAATTCGCTAAGTAGATCAATCTTTATTTTAGGGCTGACATGTGCTTATCGAAGATTGATTATTATTATTATCAGATAATTGTTTACTTAGCTAATAACTATCATTCCATCATACTTGGATCACATATAAGTTGTTCAAGGATATAAATAGCCTATGGGATGTTGCCTTAAACGACCGTTGAAATTGAATCCACTATTTTAAGCCCACAAAAGCCAAAAACATACAAATTCAAAAAAAATAAAATAAAATAAAATAAAATTATAATTATGAAATGAATAATTTTACGCCCATTTATGTTCCCTATACCAGTGTCCCTAAGTTGATGGCATCATATAATTGATTTGGCCTTTTTGGAATGGCAATTCCTGATTTATAACCTTCACATAATCAAATCAAAATAAAAGCATCTTTTTATCAAGAGTATCTCTTAGAGATGGCCTGAAATATAATTAATCTTTAATGAATCCATTTCCATTATATCCTCCAAGTAATTTCAACTTAAGTCTTAAAAATGGCTTCCAGTGAGTACTTTACAGTGAGTTACAGGAAGATTTATCAGTCCTACCACATTACACCTTTTCACTCTTCTAATGAAATCTCTTCCAGAAGAAAAGCCATGTTTTATCTCATTTATACACAATTTATTCTCTATTTTTGCAGGTTCAACCTAATATTTCTACCGCTAACGGACTGTATCAAACAGACCTTTACTGCAAGCGATTGAGTTTTAAGAAGACAACAATGGCTGCTACGCATCTTAAGAGGCACAAAATCTCTAAATTCTAGTTTTTCAATCAAGTGAAACAAAAACCAAGGGGAAAAAAAAACATCTAACTTTCCATGAAAATAGAAAAAGTAATAATGATATTGAAGGAATAATAGATTCATAAAAATAAGAATGACAAAAAAGTTAAAATTGATAGAAATAGTTCATAACTGCGTTAAGATTGATTGATAGATATGAAAATGTCAGAGAAATGTAGACAAAGAAATGATTATATGAAATAAAAAATTAGAATAATTTATATTAAAAATATTATTGTCGAACATAAAATTCAAGAGTATAAATATTAAATCCGGAAGAATAGTACAAAAATAAAGAAAAGTGCCATCAATAAAAGTTTTTTTTGGCAGAGTTACATAATCAATAGGTTCATAAAAAATTTTGGACAAATTCTAATCATTCAATGCTAATATAATTGAGTACTTAAAGTGTAAGAAATTAAATATTAAAAATAGCACTTAAAAGAAACCTTCCAAACCTAAACCTTGACTGAATCATATAAACACGTCTGAATCTCAACTTACAACACTATGCATATAACTAAGTGGATGCAGTAGCAAATAGAAATTTCTATGCCCAAAGCTGAACGGAAAATGGAACCAATAAGAAGCTCAAGAGAAACGCACCTTTAGAAATGCCAATTCCCTGCAACGGTGAAAGAGAAAAAGCACTTGGCGAACAGAAGAAATACAAGTGTACAGATAGAGTCTGCAACATTTACCATCTCAGAAGACAATTACTTAAAAGTCCCTAGCACAGCATACAAAAAGCAGTTTCAATGCTTGATTCAAATAACCCATAAAACTTAAATGGTCATAAACTTTAGTCTTCCTCTTCATCGTCATCGTCGTCATCTTCATTCTACAAAAATTCAACAAAAAATAATATTAGTTGCTTAAAGCTATATATTAAACAATAGATAAACTGTTGTACACATCCGGTATTCACACTTCAGAGATTAAATGGATTACATGATAGACAAACATGATCCTTCAACAGCCAAACACATTGAGAAGTAAGTCATAAAATTTCTAAACACACATATTTACCGAGTGGCCAAAGCTAATCAGCTTACAGATTTATTATTTTATTTTATTTTATCAATTCTAGTTACAGATAAATTGAGAGTGCAATCTCATGGACCTATCAAAATTCTAAATAAAGAAAAAAAAAATTATAACCACCTTTACTCGAGAAATGGATATAAAAGACACAATAAATTATCCTTGCCACTAAAAGAAAAGAACATTATCTATTGATTACTACCTTGAGCTATGTTATAGAACACAATCAAATAGATCTACCAGAACTCCCAATAATGCAAAAGATATCATAACAACAATATCGGCATTGCAGAATGAATAAAAAGATAATACAAATGCATGGTTTTCTGTTAAATTTGGCATTGATGTTTTTAGTTGTTTTCAAACCAATTACACATCAATTCTAGCAATCCAAAGTAGGAAGCTTGTTATGATAGTCATGAAACTTATTGATAAAGAATTCTCTAGGAACCAATAATACTCTTTTGATGATTACTCACTTGTTAGTAACATTCAAATTTGTATGCATGAATTGTTTGGTTTGGTGAAAAAAAAAACAAAGATTAGTAAAATAATTAAATATTTACATATTCTCATGCAATTCGTCGTGACAAAGTTTAGAGATCTTACTATAAGAAGAGTTTTAATTCATAATTATTGGTAAGTACTGATAAATTTTAAATGAGAAGTCAAGTAAATTCATAAGAACTGTATTTCATTAGTTAGCTATTGCATCAACTGCATGGTTAGAAATATGACTATATAGATATTTGTATAATCTGAAAGCATAGTAAACATAATTTTATAAAATTTTTCCAAAATTTCAATTATTTTGTTGACAGGAATGCTTAGGAGTCATTTGGGATCACATTTGTTTTCTATTTTCTATTTTTTGTTTTTTTTATGCATTGATTTGAAGCAAGTCATGTTCAGCTATTTGATTAACATATGGCAGTTTTTAAAACACTCAAAGCAACTAAAGGTGTTTTTAAAAACATGTTAATTTATTTTTAGAAAAAAAATAAAAACATATAATAAAATATAATAAACAAACATGTTTATAAGAACATACAAATATGATACCAAACAAGCACTTAATTTTTGTTAAGCAAACCAAGATATTCCAAAATAATATGTAAGATAAGGGGGGGGAGTGTAGAAAATCTATGACATTTGAATAGTTTACTCCTAATTTTACCTTTTAATTGAAAGTTCATAAGATGATCAAATAGAAATCTCATGCATAAAAGATTTCATAGTTAAGCCGTTAATATTGTGAAATTATTACAGTAAAAGAAAGAATGTATGATAAATACTTGTGAGGAAAGAGAAGGTTTTTTTAAGCTTATTATATTATCATTTATAGAATATAATGATTATTGCCAATTTGATAAACTATTAATTTAATGAACTATTGAACTACATGAAAGAATATAATTAAACCATAGTATATTAAATAAGAATCATTGTACTACTTATTAAAAAGTCATTATGTTATTATATGTGATCTAATGGTAATTAAATGAATAGGCAACCATATGGTGTGATCTAGTGGAATTGAGTAAAAGATAATAGGACGTCATTTTGTGTGAACTGCTGGTATTTTTCTTGAGAACATAAACAAGCATTCGTCAATTAAATTGAAATACTGTAAAATAAGTGGTTTGTTACAGTAAAATAAAAAAAGCTTTTGTCAATTACTTTGATTTATTGTACATGTTATTTTAAAAAAATCACCAAACCAAATATAAAATAATAAAGCACGTTTAAGAATAGTAATTCAAGCTATCCATTGAGTCGCGGACTTACCAAAAACAACAACAACAAAGCCTTAATCCCACTACGTGGGGTCGGCTACATGAATCATTTTTCTCCATTGCGTCCTATTTAGTGTCATATTTTCATTTAGTTCTAGTAAATTAAGATCGTTTTTAATACAATAAGCCCAAGTCTTCCTAGGTCTACCTCTGTCTTTCTTAACACAAGTCAAATCTAAAGCATCTACTCTCCTAATCGGATCATCAGATGGTCGACGTTTAATGTGACCAAACTATCTAAGAAGACTTTCTCTAATTTTGTCCGTCACAGGAGCTACACCAACCCTATCACGAATATATTCATTTCGCATTTTGTCTCTAAGTGTAAAGCCACTCATCCATCTAATCATTCTCATCTCGGCAACACTTAACTTATTATTATGCTTCTCTTTTAAAGGCCAACATTCAGCGCCATAGAGCATCGCGGACTCACCATAACATTGTTTTTTTTTCAAGAGCACAGCAATCACGGAAATGGGTGTGAAAGTTCTAATTTTATTCTTTTAGGTTTTTGTTTCACAAGTAAACGTAGTTGCAGTTATTTAAAGAGACAGCTGGAAAGTTGCTGCAAAAGTTGTTCAAGTTGAGGTGGCTACTATAATTTTTTTTAAAATTTTTAGAAAGTCAAACAACAGCTTTCTAGCTTTCTGCAGCCATCGCACATAGTCAGGTCCGGCTGTAAAATGCAGCTTTCCCACCACAACTTCTTGAAAAAACACACAAAAGATATTGTCAAACACATAAGCGGTGCAGTGCAGGCCACACCGCCACAAACGGGCCTTAAATTTATGAACTTGATAAGTAATAAAAAAAATTTGTATAAAAGAATTGTTTTCAATAAACAATCTTAGCAATGATTTTCTATGCTAGTCATGCACATTACTCATCGCATCCTTCGTTGCTTCGTAATCAAGGAAATTAGTCACAAATCATGAAAGATTAGTTCGTTTGAGTCTTGAGATCATGACATGCCAAGACAAGAAGCAACACACAAAAAATTGTTGCCAAGACATGTAGAGCAGTTAATTAAAGCTCATCAAATCAACACGAACAAATTTAAGAGGAAATAAGGACTTTATTAAGAAATTCATCAAATAATAATACGTCAGGAATACTATTAATAACACAAAACATCAAAAGTTAGTAATTTTTAAGGATTCACCAAGATTTTACTAAAATTGCAAGTACAATTTTAGTAAACTAGGATTCCGTCAAAAACAGCAATCTCCAATTCCTGATATCAGAAAAAATAGCCAAAAGTTTAAATTCCTTCCAACAAAACCAACTGCAGCCAGGCAAAAGAAAACAAAAGAATAAGGCAACAGGATAGGCCAGTGAACAGAGCAAGTATCTAAGATAAATAAAGAAAATAAACTTCCCAACAGAACACATTGTAAGAAAAGAATTTTTTTAGTGTAGGCATAAATGTGTGCCGTAAGTGGAATAAGGATAAGTAAAAGAAATAGTAGCTTCTCACTGGAGTAATTTAAGGTAACTGTTAATAAGTCTTAAGTATAATAGTTTAGCCAACGAAGAAAAGTATCTGTTTCATGTTAGGTATGTTGGAGGTAAAGTTACCTTATTATTTCCAAGAATTTATTTAACATGATGAAATAGATATCTAAATAAACATTTAGGATGGTTCAATCGCTGAAAATTGCTTAACAAGAATTTTCAATTAGTTAATTTCATATAAGTCTTCTATAACCTATCTTGAGACGTTACCACTTCACTATCTGGTATGATGAGTATACAAATTAACAAATTCGCCAACTAACAATTAAGTCGTCATATCAAAAAATCTATCGAATGTTTCATGCAATACAAAATTTAGTCCAAGCATGCAGTAAATTGAAGAAATTGATGCCGTCTGATGCTCATAAAATAATGGAACTGTTCGTCCTATCCTTAGAACATCATTCCCCAAAAATAAAAGTTAATAAAAAATAAACACAATGCAAAAAAAATTTGCCAATTCAATTGGAAAGATATTCCATAAATAGATCCGTTATCTACAAAACAGGTGAAGGAAAATATAGGACATCTGAGAAGAAATATAATCTGAAGAAACAGAGAAAAAAAGAAAGAAAATGAATGACGATGTAATACATAGACATAATCAAATTCAATGAAGTTCAGATTTGTAACAAAAAATATTGAAAATGAAATAAAATGTCAGTTATAGAGATGCAAGAAGGCTACGAATTTCAGCCCTCTATAATTTAAATTAGTTCGAGCTAAAAGGGCATGCTCCTTGCAAAATTAATAATGGCAATTACACCTTTACACCATAAAATTTTGCAAAATTGGAACAAAAACCTAACCTCTCCACTTCCATCATCATCTTCATCATTAATTTCAGACTTTGACCTATCCGACTCCTCATCACCGTCATCAGTATTACTTTCCTACAAATTAAAAATAACAATAATAAGGGAATGAAAGCCAATAAAAAGGATAAAAAGGAATTAACTTCAAAAAAGCAAAAATCCAAACTTATCTAATCGTCAATCACCTGCTTCTTGTTGTAAGCTGACATCTGTTTTTCATATTCGCTCTTCCTTTTTGCAGCTTTAGCTTCATATGGAGCTTTTTCCTAGCAAAGCGAAAGAAGCAACTCATGCTTAAAATAAAATGTAATTTCCTAAAAATTTAATGGTAATTTTTCTAAGTTCAGAAAAATAAAGAGCTAGCATATATCACTACATTATTATAACATATGAAATAAGGTAAAATACATACCGCACGAGTCAGTGATTTCCATTTCTCGCCTCCAGCTTTACCAACCTTCAAAATAATGACCAATGTTAGATCAAGTTATAAAAAAGAAAATATTAACTATTATATACTGAAAAAGGTGGAAAAACATTAAAGGATTTTTCAAAGATGGAATTTTGCAAGGAACTCTTCTTACAGCAGATACAGCTTTCACATTAGGATGCTCTTTCTTGTAGATTTCTCTGAACTCCTCACTGTAAATTGTAATGTAAATCCACAATCAGTTTCTTAAGTTATTAAAACCAATCATGTCTGAAAGCGAGTTACCATAGATAAAATATGAAAATCACAGATAATGTTGCTTACAGGAAAATAAAGAAAGCAGTAGCAGGCCTCTTTGGTTTGTTAGGATCCTTTTTAGCATTCTTGGCCTTTTTATCCTTGCTTTGGCTACTCTTATCAGCCTTCACAGCAGCCTTGCGTTTTCCAACTTTTCTGAGATAATGAACAGAGCATAAAATTAAATGGCATGAAGAATTAGAAGAATTTATTGGCCTCAAGTATATGTAAATTAATTATAAAAAGTATGCATTCCCCATATATTATCATTACCTTTCTTTTTACTAGCGAAACCTTCCTATTGCTGTTGTAACTGTTTCTTAATATTTCTTATTTCATGCTTCGCTAGATATATATATATATATTAATATTATTTATTTATTTATTTATTTATTTATATCTTTTATATGGTACTCACAATCCCATGAATGTTCTACTTCCAAAAGATTATGAAAGTCTAGATAACATAATACATACAACAATTGCCTCCATATTTTACAGGATTCTAAGATAATTTAATCATTGTGCCAACTGCTCTTTATTACAATTTAAGTCCTATTCTCAAAAATGCCTTTTTTATAACGGCAGTCTAGTCGACCAATGATCAAAAGAATACAATGCAGATAGAATTAACTAACTCTAGAGTGTATTTAACTGCAATCAAAATTTAGCGTTAGTAGGATTTAGTAAATCCATTAAATCAACCTTCCCGTTGGATTTATTAAAACCGGATTTAAGCTGAATCAAATGCAAAATTCAGGACTTTATATCAGAAAATTCATAAATCCACCGAACTCTCACATTTTAGTGTTTGTTGGATTTACTTAAATACGGTGATAAATCCTACTAAATAGCTCTACCAAACACCCCTCTATAATATGCTTTAAGAAAAATATTATCAATAAGTCGTGTAGTAAAACAAAGTAGTGAGAACTGTTTAAACAAAAGATAACTTGTCATCAGCTGGCTTTAGTGCTGCTGGAGTCTCTTTCTTGGTTGAAGCCTTCCCCTTCCCTCCCTTCATTCTAGGGATAGAGAGCTTCCTGCCATGGTCAAAGAAAAAAAAAATTAGTATTCCTTCCATCAAAATAGTTTTGTAGAAATAAGAAGTCTGAGATTCCATTAAAGGGTAAAAACTAATGCTTCCACCGCAAGAACCATGCACCTGAAACTAATTTGATTACCTAAACGAACCAAAATAGATCAAAAAAACTTTTTTTTTAATGTACTGAATCAAAAATCAATATTAGATATAATTCCACAAGGAGGGAGTTATCATAGGGCTAATCAGAAATCATTCCCATGAACAAGCTTCTCTAGAAGAAACAATAATATCACCAATCAACATCCCCAAACCAATAAGACCGTCGCGAATAAAATAAGTAAAACGTTTTATTTATCAAAATTAAAAATAAAAGAAGTTCCAGCCGAAAATAGAATAGCAAACCTAACTGAGATTAGAAATAATAAGAAAACAAAGGCCATGGAATCCTCCCCCTAATCTAAGCATGAAAAAAACCTAAATCATGAGAATCCAGATCTGGCAGAAAGTAGAGCATGCAAACATCAAAAAATGAAATAAAAAGTTCTGCAACGAGTGCAGAAGAGAAACTCAAACCTGGGAAGCAGGCAGGGAGCTGAAACCACTTGACGAGCTTCCAAGCGCTAACAGAGAACAGAGAGAGAGAGAGAGGAGATTGCGCGATCGAAAGCTCGAGATCGATATAGCAAGCGTACGACTTTGCCGGCTTGTAGGGTACAACCGGCAGGACCGGTAGCGGTTCAATTTGGCATCTGGTTTTTATATGTTCTTATTCAGATGCCTTTGCATACATGCCACACAATGTTTTTTTTTTTTATTTTTTTTTTTTATTTATCTATTTATGGTATGCACAAAAAATTTCGTTTTTCTAAAAAGGGCATTTACATTTATACCACTTAATTCTTATTTATTATTAAACATGTAGATTTTATTTTTTATAGTTATATCAATTGAATCTTTCATATCACATCAAAGATAAATCTATCTAATTTTAAAAAATATACATATTTTCATGCCTGTGTTCATACAAAAAAATACATGTTTTCATACGCGCACCCCCCAACACATAGGGTTGTCAAAAACGGCTCATTGTTCGCTAATAGCTCGTGTTCGGCTTGTTAATTTTGTTCGATAAGTTAACAAGCCGAGCACGAACTAAGATGTGTTCGTTCGTGTTCGGCTCGTTTTGACTCAAAATAATATAAAAGTAGTATTTAAAAAAAATCTAATTAACTACAAGACTACAAAGATTTATAATCAATTAAAATATTGATTAAGAAAATAGAATAAAAATTATTAAATTAGATTCAAATGATGTTTTAATATAAATAAAATTTTTAAATCTTGCTCAAATCCTTATTGTCTTATGTCTTATGGCTATATGATTAGGGTTGTTAAAAGGACTCTTCGTTCGTGAACAACTCGTCTTCGGCTCGTTAAGCAAACGAGTCGAACATGAACACAATTTTTGATCTCGAAATATAAACGAGCCGAACACGAGACACCCCTACCAACACACACGCAGGGGGATTTGTTAACATGGCAATTTAAATGTATGTTGCATTAAAACAAATTATATTTAGGGATTGTTTGTAGAATAAATCTTGTAAATCAGGTTATATCAAATGTTAAGAGGTTAAATTCTGAAAAATATTTGATATATTAGTAAGTAAATCTTAATAAATCCTGAATATTTGTTTGATTTAGTAGTATTCAATCCTATTTATGTGATTAAAAGCTTTAGAATCATGTATTTTCTCAAAAGTATGAATCTCACACTATAGAAACATGGCTTAAAAAATCTAGTAATGATATAATTATTGATTTTAATTAAATTTAATATTAAATTTTATTTATCATTATACAATCAACAATCAAGTATTTAATATTCTAATTAATGATTAATAACAATTTTATTAAATTTATCAGATTAAAAAATAAGTTAACATTCATTAATTAGTAACTTATTAATTATTTATTGAATTAATTGCTTTCCACACTAGCATGTTTGCCTTGCTTTAACATTTCGTATGTTTCCATGACTTGCGGCCAATGTTTCTTATTTTATTTAATCATTGACGGATTAACAAGATGATGGCATGAACCTACGCTCCTAACAATCCTTTATTTTCTTAGGAGCCGTGATTAAGGATGGTGATAATTGTCAGAAGTTCTGTGTTTCCCGAGCGTTTTTCCTGTCCGGTCATCGTATGTGCGGACAACCGCAGGTGACAGAAAAATTTAGCGTGTTTCCCCCTCCATCAACTAATTTTAAAATAGAGATTTATATTCATAACACAATTCTAATACATTAATGCACTTGATATTTACGTTTTAATACTTGATTATGTGGCACTTAATGTTTTGATATTGCACAAGGAGTGAACATATTCTCTTAGAATTCAAAGAGATTCAAGTGATGGAGCTGAGTGTTGCCATTATTAATCTCACTAATATTGTGTGATATGTCTATCAATTGATGCAAATCCTTCTCCTGCAAAGTTAAAGATTCTCATTTGCATATCAGACAATAATTTATGTCATCTAAATTATGGTCTTAAACCTTATATATGTTGCAGCATATAAAAACAATATAAAAACAATATGTCAACATGTGTGTATGTTTTAAGAGAAAATTTGTTAAAATGGTGAACTTGTTGTCTTAGAATTTAAAGATATTGCTCAATAATATTCCTTAAAGAAGAATACTTATTATCAAAAAAGTATTATCTTTGAGTTTGGTTTCCACTTATTAATCACACCAATGAAATATAAATATTCTTAAAAAAAAGCTTTCTTGCATGCAAAATTTTTTAAATCTCTTTTTATTGCTCCACTAGTCGAGAAAATATCATATTTTTTATTTTTTTATTTTTTGGGAATTTTCATACTTAACGAACAATTCTTATGTATCTAGATATGTAACACTCAAAATTCTATATTTATTTTTATAATACTTTGGTGTTAAAATCTATGCATGATGTCCATCGAAACTGTGCTAGCACTGATCTTAAGGAGATGTAACTATTCAGATGATATTAGTGTGATGAAGGAGAATCTGTTGATAGAAGATCATAAGACTTACTTGTCCAACCGAGGAAACTGTTTGAGCCAAGCCAACAAGAACAAAGCCGACCAAACTACAAGACAGGTGAGAGACGGTCAGATGATACAAGAATAAACAACTCAGTCAAAAAACAAGGCAGAAGAGTATCTAAGTCTACCACCACAGGAGAGTCAATCCGAGGGAAGATATGGTTTTCTAACATCTTCAATCATCTCATGCAAACTGAGGGGTTCCTCATTAGAGGTTAAGAATTGATAGTAGGACCCCATATCAAGCAGTCGACCTTTATCAATCAAGCTCAGTCGCTCGAGCTGATCTCAACCGACCGAGCTGATCATGTTGACCCAAAGTCAATTAAACTTAACCAATCGAGCTAAAGAACAGTCAAACAATGAGCTTATACATCTAAAATATAAAAAATATCTTAATACGGACCCTTTGGGGTAAAATTATAATATCATAATTGTACCCCATTCTCTATAAATATGAGAATTATTTTGCGAATAAGGAACGACGTAAGACTGTTCACTCAATCTTCTCATTATCTCTCCCTCTTCTTATCTACACTCTATTTCTAGAGTATGATTCTCTGACAAATCATCATTCAAATTGCTAAAAATAAAATATATTTTACTCTTAAGAAGTTAATAATAGACATATTTTTTATGTTAATATCAAATAATTGAGTGTTGTATACACACATAAAAGTTTAGAAACCAGGCATGTAGATATATGAGAATTGAATGGAATGTACATAAATGCCACCCCTTTATTTGTAAGAAAATATTTTTAAATGCTCTATGTTATGAAATACCTATTTGAATACTACAAACATATGGTATTTAATTAACTGTATTCTTCTTAGGTCATCCTCGTTCTCTTTCCCCTTTCTAATCAGATTTATATCAGTCTTTAACTGGTCTTGGGAGGAAAAGCGGGCCTAGGGTTTTCGCTGAGATGGGTCGGCTCTTTCTGGTGACTCTTGAAGGAAAGGTTTACAGCTGCAAGCACTGCCAGGCTCATCTCGCCCTTTGCGACGACATCGTCTCAAAAGTCCAATCTTCTCACCCGCTCAATTGCTCTTCTTAATATTCGCCATTTATCAGAATGTTCTTTATGATTTTGTTCTTCCTTTTATGCGATTCAACAAGTTAATGGGCCAGACTTGGATTCTATGCCTAAAATTGGAATATTCAGATGTATTTCTTTCTTTGATTAACTGGTCAAGATTCAGTCTGAATAGCTAGCAATCTTTTTTTAAGAAACAGAATTTAATTTTTGATTGTGGTAATAAGTTGCAGGCATGCTGCAGTAGGTTGCTTCTCTTAAAATTCATCTGGATTGGTATTGCTGAATGTGTTTTGAGAAGCTGAGTGCTCAAGCTTAAATTTGCGTTAGAAGGAAAACTACTGCGTGGGGAGCTTATTTGATCAATATAGAATATGAAAAATGGGTTAATTGAGTCAGTTGAGCCAGCCACATGACTTCTTTTTGCCCACATCTGTTCTTATAATTACTGAGCTTTTGGTCTTAGTTTTTTCTTAGGAAGTTTTACATGCATACCGCTCAATTCCCATGTATTTACATATCTAACGCCTAAACTTCATTTTTTACAGCCATACCCCTTGTGTATTTCGCTTCTTAAAGTTAAAAGTGGTATTTTTTGATGTGATATGAAAAATTTCGTTGTTATTAATGCAAAAAAGCAAAACTTTGGTTTTAGAGATGTAAATACATAGGAATTGGGTGGTCTGTATGTGGATACCATGGTTATATGGATGAGCATTTTCTTGTTGTGGTTTTATGTTTCTCAGACTTGGTGGGATGCAAATTTATTGATTGCTACAGTCAGGCCTAATTCGGAAGCCATTTAATTAATAGATATCATTAAGGCCTATTCTTGAAAGGAAAAAATAGAGAAATTTATTGTAATAGCTTCGGTTTGTTTGCACAAAGCATTTAGTTCCTCTTTTTATACAAAGCATCTGCTTCCATGGTTGATCAGTTGATTTTCTCTATCAGAAGTTTCAAGAAAAAAATAATTTCTAAAATTCATGCATGTTTGAGGTCCGAATATTGTATTTATGCTGACATTTTTTTTTTGTATTTGCAGTCCTTTCATTGCAGGCATGGGAAAGCCTACCTCTTCAACAAGGTGTAAGTTCCTTGTTTTCTTTTTGGAAGATTTACATACATACCAGTCAATTCTTATGTACTTACATATTTGCCCCCTTAACTTTAATTTTTCCATATATGCCACTTTAACCATGCATGAAAATGCGTGCTTATCTTTTTAAAAGTTAAAATAGTTATATTTTTGATGTTATATGGTATTTTTGGTGGTATGTATGTATATGTCTCTTTCTATATATATATATATATAGCTCCCACGCACACTAATATGTGCATGCTTGCTTCTACTTTTAGACACATTTTGTATCATAACTATCCTATTGAACAAATAAGATGAGGTGAATTCTCTTACTATTGTAATTAAGATGATTTATAATGCACAGGGAAATCAAAATCTTTTGATTCTAAAAGCTGATTAAGTGGTGAGAGAGGAAAAAAAAATAATTTGCAAGGGAATCATGAATATGTTCTTTATAAGCTGAAAAATGGATGTTTTCACTCTTCTATTGAATAAATCAGTGATAATAATTTCACAGCTAACGGTGATTTGAGATCAGCATGGAGACCACATTAGCGACGGTGATATGGTATTTTTGGGTGGTATATATGTAAATGTCCCGCGCATACCAATATGAGCATGTTTGCTTCTCTTTTTAGACACATTTTGTATAATAATTTTCTTCTCCAAAAAAGAAAAAAAAGGAAAAGAAAAGAATTGGTGAATCCTCTTACCATTGCAATTAAGATGATTTATATTGCACAGAGAAATTAAAAGATTCCCGTTTGTCACCGCTAGATTAAGTGGTGAGAGAAATAAAATTTAATTTGCATGGGAATCATGACTATGTTCTTTATAAGCTGAATGTTTTCACTCTATTGAATACATCAGTGATAAAAATTTGACGGCGAATGGTGATTTGAGATCAGCTTGGAGACCACATTACCAATGGTGGCTTCACATGGGTTTGGGGTTAGTGCTGGATCGATTGTTTGGGCTTTGGATTGGGTCTTTGCGGGCTCAATGAGACAATGAGTGGTTTGGACAATTATAGGATCACTTCATGGAGAATTGGATGACTTGGGTCAACTCGGGTAGGCATTGTTTAGGGACGTGTGACCTTCTCCCTCAAGCTAGGCTCAAACATATGGCTTAAAAGCACGTGCTATTTTCCGTGGAGGTAGAAAGATTGGCATTGTAAAGTGTGAATCTCTTAAATAGAATAAAAGCCGAACTCCTAAATATCAATGTACCTTTTGGTGTAACAGTTGTAATTTCATATGAAAAACTCCAAAGTTATGCGTGCTCCTGTGGTAGTACTCTTGGGTTGGGTGGCTTTCTTGAAAGATATATCAAGTCGACAAAATCATGAGGCCATTAGGCTAAAACAAACATTATTTTGATGGATAAGTGTTTTGGTTATTACAAATAGTTGCAGAGCATTACACCATTCTAGAGATGAGAACTAAGTCTCATATAGAATAAAGTGTTAGTCATGAGAGTTGCCTCTTGAATCCAGATGATACAAAGTGCTACATAGTGGGAGCCATTTCTTAAATATGTAAGGGTCCTATTTAGAATTTTATTTTTTGTCTGATGGATGATTCAGGGTTAAGAAAACTAACAACGACATTAGTCACTCAGGCAGTTAAGTGTGGGAGATTGTGAAACCTTTTAAGTAAAATGAAACTGAAATTTAAAAAATTAAGACGACTTTTGGTGTAATGGTTTAAATTTATCAAAAATCCCAAAGTTAAACCAGCGGGACAAAATTGTGAGGCCATTAGGCCAAATGAGATAATACCTTGATGGATGAGAGTTCAGGTTGTTAGAGAAAAGATTTCTTGCCTCTTTACTTATAGATGGATGTTAAAAGATGCCTCGGATTTACCTAAGAGCTCGGGCCTCTTAGTTTCTATTAGTCAAGAATCTCGAGGGGCTTTTGGCTTATTTTATTTCATACTATGAATGACGTTTTTTGTTTTGCTTACAGAACTTGAGCTCTTTACCAAGAGATGTTATTTCTCATGTGATAAATATTGAACAATATATTCTAAAAATTATTTAGGCCATGCCATCTTCCTCAAGCATAAAAGGATGGATGTCTTACTATAGAGTTTATTAGAAAAGGTATCCTCGAGAAGATGTTCTTTCTCATTTGATAAATATTGAACAATATATTCTGAAGAATATTTAGACCATACCATCTTCCTCGAGCATAAAAGAATGAATGCCTTATTATGGAGTTTATTAGGAAAGGTAGCCACCTGGTGAATGGAAAAAAAAAAATCAGATGGCTGACTATAAATTCTGTTCTTTATGGTGGTGTAGTGAACGGGATTGCGTGACAAAGAACATTGTTTAGTAGTCGTTAAGGAAATTATCAAATATTAAACTTGTATATTATGTATTTTATATATTAGGAAACTTGTTTATTCTGCTACCTAATTGAAGGAGATTTAATTTTCAATCTTTTATATATTAGATTTATTTTTAATCTGTAGAGAGAAGTGTATCTGGAAATGTGTAACATATGATTTCAATTGAACAATTAGAAGTAAGAACATTTTCTGCTCACATGGTATTAGAGGTTCATTCATTCCTTCCCCTTTGCATCGCTCGTCTTCTCGAATTTAGCCTATGTGAATCATTTGTTTTTTTTGGCTCGGGCTCCTTTCAGCTTCCTCAATGTCTCTGTATACTTCCTGCGATGTCATTGTCTTCTTCATGCGACGGATTCGTCAAGCTCGTTTTGGTTTCGTCGAGTATTTGTTTGCTTCGAATGAAACCATTTGCTTCATCTGCGCATGCTTCTTCTGCAACATCTACGCCTGCTTCATTTGCAATGCCTCTATTTCCTGTTGTCGCACATTTGCATCTACTTCATCCGCCCTATCCGTGTCGACGAAATTAGGGCATTGATGATAGTTATTGTTTTTTGCTTCGTCTGCTTCATTTTACTAGGTTAATTCCCTTGGCTTCTGATTTTGGCTTCTGTTGTCGCGACTGTGCTGATTCTTTTATTTATTCTATGGTCATGGGTGGTTGAGTTATTTATTTTCTAGTATTTGGTCATTTGTTCTTCAACACTAAATGACATCAATTATGACTGGTGAATACAAACTTTTAGTATGAAAGTGTCAAATCACAGATCTTATTTGACTATGGATGTATGACTTTGAGGGAAGCCTATACAAGAGTATTGCATATAAGTCCGAGTTCTTAAGCCTCATACGTACAACAACTAATGCCTCTGTTTCCTATTGTCGCACATCTGCATCTACTTCATCCACCATATCCGTGTCGATGAAATTAGGGCATCAAAGGCATTTTCTGCTCACATGGTATTAGAGGTCCATTCATTCCTTCCCCTTTGCATTGCTCGTCTTCTCAAAGTTAGCCTATATGAATCATTTGTTTATCATTTGTTTTTTTGGCTCGGGTTTGGCTCGGGCTCGTTTCATCTTCCTCAATGTCTCTGTATGCTTCCTGCGATGTCATTGTCTTCTTCATGCGACGGATTCAATTGTCTTTGAATCGAGCACGTTTTGGCTTCGTCGAGTATTTGTTTGCTTCGAATGAAACCATTGCATGCTTCCTCTACAACATCTACACCTGCTTCATTTGCATTTGCAATGCCTCTATTTCCTGTTGTCGCACATCTGCATCTACTTCATCCGCCCTATCCGTGTCGACGAAATTAGGGCATTGATGATAGTTACTGTTTTTTGCTTCGTCTGCTTCATTTTACTAGGTCAATTTCCTCAGCTTCTGATTTTGGCTTCTGTTGTTGCGACTGTGCTGATTCTTTTTTTATTCTACGGTCATGGGTGGTTGAGTTATTTATTTTCTAGTATTTTGGTCATTTGTTCTTCAACACTAGATGACATCAATTATGACTGGTGAATTAAAACTTTCAGTATGAAAGTGTCAAATCACAGATCTTATATGACTCTGGATGTATGACTTTGAGGGAAGCCTATACCAGAGTATTGCATGTAAGTTCGAGTTCTTAAGCCTCATACGTACAACAACCAATGCCTCTGTTTCCTATTGTCGCACATTTGCATCTACTTCATCCACCATATCCGCGTCGACGAAATTAGGGCATCAAAGACATTTTTTGCTCACATGGTATTAGAGGTCCATTCATTCCTTCCCCCTTGCATCGCTCGTCTTCTCAAACTTAGCCTATACGAATCATTTGTTTTTTTGGCTCGGGCTCGTTTCATCTTCCTCAATGTCTCTGTATGCTTCTTGCGATGTCATTGTCTTCTTCATGCGACGGACTCGTTTCATCTTCCTCGTGTCGACGAAATTAGGGCATCAAAGACATTTTCTGCTCACATGGTTTTAGAGGTTCATGCATTCCTTCCCCTTTGCTTCGCTCGTCTTCTCAAAATTAGCCTATATGAATCATTTGTTTTTTGGCTCGGGCTCGTTTCATCTTTCTCAATGTCTCTGTATGCTTCCTGTGATGTCATTGTCTTCTTCATGCGACGGACTCGATTGTCTTCAAATTGAGCACGTTTTGGCTTCGTCGAGTATTTGTTTGCTTCGAATGAAACCATTTGCTTCATCTACGCCTGCTTCATTTGCAATGCCTCTGTTTCCTATTGTCGCACATCTGCATCTACTTCATCCGCCCTATCCGTGTCGATGAAATTAGGGCATCAATGATAGCTACTTTTTTTGCTTCGTCCACTTCATTTTACTAGGTCAATTCCCTCGGCTTCTGATTTTGGCTTTTGTTGTTGCGACTGTGCTGATTCTTTTATTTATTCTATGGGCATGGGTGGTTGAGTTATTTGTCTTCTAGTATTTTGGTCATTTGTTCTTCAACACTAAATGACATCAATTATGGCTGGTGAATAAAAACATCTTGTGACATATTGATTTCATCAGTGGCTAAGATTACAGAAGTAAAATTAAATGACATCAATTATTTTTATTGAAATAAAATTGCGAGGCTCTAGTCAAGGAGTATTTCTCAAAAGAGTCATTTCACTGATAATCTCCAAGGTGA